TCAATTAACCCCTGCTCCTTCCGTTGATTATCTCAGTGGAAATCCATCCTGCAGTCTCCTTGATAAATGAATCCTACAACCAGAAGTGTTTTCATCCTGGCTTTAGAGGCATCCCCTTTATTTCTTGGCTGAAAATGAGATGTTGAGGCTTGCCTCGCTGATAAGTGAATAATTCAGAGAAGTCCTGGTCATTATTTGTGGCCAGAAGGTCCTTAGATAGTTGTATTGATATTATTGGCTATTGCTAATGAAACTTCAGAGAAGTCTTCCTTGTCCGTCTTAAATTAGCCCCAGTCTTAAATTATCCTATTACTCTGTCCTTTAAAAACAAACAAACAAACAACAACAACAACAAAAAAACCCTAACCATAACCAAGAGTAAATTCTTATTTGCTTTTTCTTATTTTCTCTACTGGATTATAAACTTTATGAAAGGAAGACTCCCCTTGCCCACCACATAATTCACAGCACATTTCTTTCTCTCTCTCTCTCTCTCTCTCTCTCTCTCTCTCTCTCTCTCTCTTTCTTTCTTTCATAGTGCTGGGGATTGAACCCAGGGCCTTGTACATCTGTGCAAGTGCTTCACCACTGAGCCACATGCCCAGCCCTTCACAGCACTTTTAACACTGGTGTTAAAAGGTTCTTCCAAGGTGTCAAAGGAATTCAAATACAAAATACAGGGTCAGTGCTGAGGAAATACTTGTTGAATGAATTGTTACTATTTATTGAGCATTTACTATGTGCTAAGGTCTTAAAATGTATGATCTCAATCTTCGTATCAATCTTATGAGCCAGATGTTACTATCACCCATTTTATAGATGACACCACTGAGGCTTGAATAGTCAACAAGTTTCCCCCAGGTCACTCATATAAATGGCAGAGGTAACTTCAAACCTCATGGTGATTTCAAAATCAGTGCTCTTTACCACTATGATAGAGCAACCCTTATGTGCACCCTGGGTACTGACTGATCTGGAGCAAGATCATTCTTATCAATATCCCTTCATTTAATTGAAACTGAAGAGGATTTTCTCAAAGATCAGACAATCATTAAAATTTAGTAAGAAAAATCGCCAGAAAGAAACCCAGAGCTAATGCTCTGTACCAAACTCACATACAGGGAGTTTCTTGAGAAATAGAAGAACGCAGAGAGGGAGTGTAAGGAGAAGTTTCTACTTTCTTGGAGCCCTCTGTTTATAAATACTACTCTATTAAAGTGGTTTCTCTGCTTCCCATAAGGAAGTCATGAAGATATCATCGTTTAATGACATTGCCCTGGGATCTGAGACATCAAAAACAAATGAGCAACAATATATAACTTCTGCAGCTCTATGAAGCTGGAATCATGTTTTATAAACACTACAGTACTTTTATCATCCATCTTGGGCTGAGCAAAACCATATTTGTCCAGCATTCTGAGTAATGGACAAGAATAGATGGATTAGGGCTCTTAAAATTCCTAGTTGGAAGACATTAAAAGTTTAAGAGCTCTATATAGCTGAGTCAAATGCATGTGCCCATGCTATATAATTAGGAGGCACAACAACAATAAATATATAATTTAAAAGAGGAGACCAGCAGGACAAGAATACTAACCAGCACTCTCCCTCCCATATGTAGCCGATCCCCAGTTGGTCTTCAGCTGTGCAGACTGTAACCTTGCTGGTCTTGGAGTCATTTTAATATAACAAAGGTTCAGATCTTTCCATTTCTTTCCTAAGCAGTTTATGCTTCTCTCTGAAGTCGGCTTTCAGGCATAAGCAATTCATTGCTCCTCAACTAAATATTCATTTTACTTTGTCTAAAGGGACTTAATCAATCAGCCTAGTTATGGTTTTGAGAGGCCACCCCCTGGTTTTCATGTATAAGAAATGAGTATTCATGTCACTAAATGGAAGCCAAAGCTCACCTTGCCTGTAAAGGAGTTCCCTGGAGACTAGCAAGTGGAACAGACAGAGCTATTCTGGCTCTCAACATCTGAGGAGCTTTGCTGTCTGTCACACAGGGAGTCCTGCTGCCTCAACTACCATGGCTTCAGGGCTGTTTGGGAGTGGAGGTCGGGATGAGTTAAAACCAAAAACCCATCCTGTAGAGAAAAATCCCAAGGAGGACTGATGCTTGATAAGCTATGGCTCCTTGGTTGCAAGCATTTTAGACTATGACACTGTTTGCTAGCCATTCCTGACCACTTTGCATTTTTAGGTTACCCTGGAGAGGCAGCCGCTCTTTTTAGCTTCAACTCTGCATTTGGAAAAAGTTTTCCAACTTGCTGAGCACAAGCTAGGAATGAAAGTCTTGTTTTGCACCCATTGTTCCACATTTATTCTAGTAGTTTATGGGGTTAGGGCTCTGGTCTTTTCGCCTAGGAGCCTTTGAGTTCAGTCTGGGCCCCCCTTCAGCCAAAAGTACAAAACTCTTCCCCTGGACTGTGACAGCTTGATGGAAATCCCCCTGCCCTCCACTTCCTCTCCAGGAGCTGGTGTTGCTGGTGGTAAAGCCATGAACTTGGAGGGAGAAGCACAATTACCAGCTGTGACATCATCAACTGAGTTTCTGGATTGACCTCAACTCTGACCTAAGAGGAGGAAACTGAAGGTCAAAGTCTCTTCTGTTGCAGGCATCTCCTTTGGCAGTGCCAGCACTGAAAACCAAAGCGAGGAATGTTAAGGTGAGCTGCACTGGGTAAGCAAGTGTCTTCAAAATCGCTTATTGTGTTGATTTCTCTCCTTAGAAGCTGGACTAATGAAAACCAAGCTGTTTCTTCTCCCCCAGTGGTTAGCAGCTTGAACTCTCTGGAGCATGCCAGGGTTCAAATTCCAGTTTTGTCAATATCTGTGATCTTGGGCAGATTACTCAACTGCTGAGTATCCTGTTTTCCCTATCTGTGAAATACCTACTTACTGGAAAGTCAAACCATGTTTGTTCCTTTGTTGTTGTTGTTGTTGTTGTTTTTTGGTACCTCAGATTGAACTCAGGGGCACTCCACCACTGAGCCACATCCCCAGCCCTTTTTTGTATTTTTATTTAGAGACAGAGTCTCACTGAGTTGCTTAGGGCCTTGCTAAATTGCTAAGGCTGGCTTTGAACTTGCAATCCTCCTGCCTCAGACGTCCAAGCTGCTGGGATTACAGGCATGCGCCACCGTGCCCATCTTGCTCCATTTTTACACCACAATCAACACAGAAGTCTTCTCTCAAAAAGTGTGGGAATTCCTCCTCAGCAGCAATTCTGCAATAACAGACACCAGCTGGGTATCCTCTAAGTTAACTCAAGTCTGACACTATGTGAGAGTGTCAAATCTCATGGGTTGAGGGTGCAGTATCCCCTGCATTGTTTCACTGTGCTTCTGATCATCTGGCTATAAATTGGGGTTCATAAAACCCCTTCCTCAGGTTTGACTAATTTGCTTGAGTGGCTCACAAAAACTCAGGGAAACACATTTGCAAGTATATTATAAAGGATACAGATGAAGACATGCGTAAGGCAAAATATGGGAGACAGAGTCCCACCCTCTGGCAACCTCCACTTGTTCAACTACCCAAAACTCTCCAACCATGTCCTTTTGAGTTTTTATTTAGACTTCATTACACAGGCATATTCATTAAATCCTGGGCCATTGGTGATCAACTTAACCTTCGGCCTCTCTCCCTTTCCCACCAGTTTAGGAGATGAGGCTGAAAGTTCCAATATTCTAAAGTCCTGCTTTGGTCTTTTTGGTGACCAGTCCCCACCCAGAAGCTACTGGGTCAACCCAACTCATTAGCATACAAAAAGGCACTACTGCTTTGGGATCCAAGAATTTTAGGAGCTGTTTGCCAGGAAATGGGGATGAAGATTAAATATATATTTCACAAGCTCACACTAGCATATAAAAGGAGTTAATATAGAAAGTGCTATGGACAATGACCGACACGTTAAATGTTATTTTAAATTTCAGCTATTATGAGTACGTTAAATTAAATTTGATTTTGGCTCCCTTTATCCCCTTCCAATAAGAGCGCAAGGATGTCTAACCAGAGCACCATTCTAAATAATTCATGGTGTCAACTCCTGAAATTGGAGTCTGAGAGGCATTTGCTGTTGAATGCCTGTCACACCCTAACCTTACCAGGGAGAAGGTCAAGTACTTTGCTTCTATCCTTTGCACTGAAGCCATGTCATCCTTCAGAGAAATGCAACTACCCAGTGGTTCCTTTTCTGGATCTGACACCATGCATTTGCCCATGCCTCCACCCCTTCATCATAATGTGGTTTATTGAGTGGGTCATTGTTCTTTTGGGGAAAGCCCAGAAAGTTGTGCTTTTGATTCAGCATGGGGTTTCAGTCACCCACTCACCTGGTTAATGACAGCTTGGGCAAAGACCTGGGAGCCAGCTTGTGCTTCCCTTTCTGGGAAGGGGTTTCAGGAATCACCAGATTCCATAACCCTGTGGTGCAAAGTGTTAAGAATCAGCCACTCCCCCTCCATCTCCCATGAGAGGCCCTGATTCTGGGTATCCTTTAACCCAGCCAAGACTAAGGTTCAGTAGGAGCTCCTGGCTCCTACTGCCCATTCCACTAGGCAAGACTTGGGTCTTGGAGTTTGGACCTTTTGGCAGCTGCTATTGGCCTGAAGAAAACCAGAGATAAAACAGTCTATCTGTCCAGTTGTTCAGGAAAAGCAACAACTAGAAAATCAGCCACGAAGGGCAAACAGCGGCAGGCCAGCAAGCTTAACTTCAAGAAAGGTTCAGGAATGGCTTGGTCCAGAGACTCAATCTCACCTAAACAGCGAACGTACCATAGAAAGTCACAATGCCACACAGAACATGACGGAGCCGATTGGCCATGATTTTATCCTCCAAAAGTCAGACACCTATGACAATCTCTGACAAGAGATTTTCAATGAACTCCTCCACCCTCAGACCAAACGCTTTTCCCGGGAGTCCTGGCACACGTCTTAAGAAATTCAGTCCCTGAGTAGCCCACCCCAAATGTGGGTCCAGGCTGGCACACTTACCATTGGCGTTCTTGCCGCAGATGAGATGCTCATAGGGCTGCAAGACACCCCAGAGCTCAGCGTCGTTGTTGATGACCATTTCCAAGGCTTCAGCGGACACCTCCCCGCCACCTGCCCCACCGCCTTCGGGGCTCTGGCTGGCCAGCACCCTAGCCCGAATCTCCTCCACCAGATTCTCCATGCACGCGGTAAGCGAGATGGCCGCGTACTCGTGAATGCGCACAGAGATGCGAGTATCCACCATCCAGCGGAAGAAGCGGCCCACGGAGAAGGTGAGGCCGCAGCGCGCCGACTTGCCCCGGCGCAGCCCGTCGCCGGCGCTCATGCTGTATAGGGACAGTGCCTTGACCGCGGCCAGCGCACAGCTTTCGGCCAGCGCCCAGCTGTGCACCAGGCGCACAGCGCTCTGAACCTCGAAGCGGGTGCACTTGGCGTGCAGAACGCTCAGGCGTTGTGCCTCCCTGGCCACGCGGATGAGAGCCCGGCGGAGCAGCCCGGCCAGGCGCCTCACCGCCTCGGCGGAAAACGCCGGCAGCCGCCGGCCTCCGGCGCCTTTGCGAAGCACCCGGGCCACGTCTCCTTCGGTCCAGGGGAACTCCTCCAGTTCTGGGAGCCGCGGGCACCGCGAGAAGAGGTCGGCCACTTCTGGATCCTCGGGCAGCACCGTGTTCACCGTGTCCCAGCTGTTGTGGCGGCTGTTCATAGAGCCGGAGTAGCACCACCAGGCCGCCCCGCGGTGCTGCTGCGCGGAAGAGTTGAGCGCCTGAGAGTTGGACTTGGAGGACGAAAGGCTGAGAGAGCGGCACGAGTCCCCGGCCCCATACCCGGAGTCCAAGGTCAAGTCCTCCAGCGTCTTCAGTGTGGAGCTATACGTCCCGGCCATGGGGGAGCCTGCCGCGGGCGGCCTCGCCAAGCGAGGGGCGCTCACAACTCCATGCCCCCTTCCCCAAGTGGGCAGAAATAAGCTCTAGGCTCTCCGAGGCGCCCTCCTTCCTCTCTGCGCCGCAGGGCTCGGCAGCCGCATCGCCCGCCCGGCCGCAGCGGGAAGGTGGGAGAGATTCGCGGAGAGCTGGAGCCCCAAGCGCCCGGCGTCCGGACCTGAAGCTGTCACTTGGAATGGCTCCTCCTCGGCACTCTCCCTTGCCCACTTCAACTCTCCGCAAGCCGAACGTCTGTCTTCCACAGAGACGAAATCCCTAAAGAAGCGGGCGGCGACAGCGTCGGCAAAAGGAGGAGGTGGCTCAGGGCGCAGCGTTAGCCCGGGACCAGCCGGCGAGAAAGCGCTTGACAAACTTCTGCGCTGCGCCGGACGCCAGCACAGCTGGGTACCCGGCTGCGGCCCGCATGCAAATAAGCCCAGGGCGTTCACCAATCAGGAACCGCAACGAGCGGGAGCAACAAATGACATCGGAGAGGGGCGGACACTATGCAGATTTCACTCCGCCTCGGGTGAAACCCCGCGGCGGCGGAGGCGGGGCTGAAGGCCGAGGGTCGCCAGAAGCCTTTAGGATGGCGGTGGAGGAGGGGAAGAAGCGAGCTGGCTGCGAGGTGGGGAGAAGAGACCGGGAAAGGAAGAATCGGAACGTTAGACTCCAGAGCTGACGATTTAAAGAAAAACGTAAAGGAAAAGCCCCTGTGCTCGATCCCTTTCCCGCCATTTAGGCTTTGGGAGTTAGCAGCTCCTTTTCATTCCCTCTGCAGCGAGCGAACGGGGGATGGGGAGTGGGGTGGGGTGGGAGGCGGGATAGGAAAATGGGGAAGGGGATTAAGCCAGGCGCCCCGCCTCTTCCCTAGATTTTCCGCCCAATCCCTCCCCTAGATTTTCCGCCCAGCCCCTCCAGGTTTCTGAGATGAAACACTAGTTGAGTTTGGAGCGGGAAGGGACGCCCCTGCTTCTCCTAAATCCGTCTGGTTTTCGTTACGTTGCCTTTAGGCTCCAACTGGAACAGAATTTTTTTTTTTTTAACCTGGGATCTGAGGAATCTGATAAATGGACGAGCTCCAATCGCCTCCACGAATACTTTTCCCCACGCCCTTTTTAGTTTCACACCTAATTTTTCTGAGTATAACTTTGGAGGGACAGTCCTAACATCAGATTCTCAAAAGGATCCACGACTTCCCTGTTAACTCTGTATAATACCACTTGCTCTCAGGTGGATCCGTTTGGTCCAAGGCGGGAAAATACGTGTATAGGGTTATTGGAGGATGCGAAGGTGGGAGAGCGGTCCCTGCACTGGCTTGCGCTCGAGCAAGATGCAGGTGTTCTGCTCTTAATGGTGAACCAGTGAGATGCGGAGGTGGGCGAGGCTCGTGCCTCCTTGGGACTCAGTTGACTTGGGGTAGAGCGAGAGGTTGACCTCTAAGAAGCGACCCGGTAACCCTGGTGTTGGGGGTCCAGAAGCGGCTAGAGAGAGCTATTGGTTCCAGCAGAACCACGCCCAGCCCACGCACGTCCCGCTGTGGTCCCCAAACTATTCACACATAACTATTCACACACACGTGCACAAACGTAAATTTGCCCCCTCCAGCGGAACCGCAAAATCAAGGAGGGGATTGTGCTCACGTTTCCTGCAAGTTGCACTCCCCCACTCCTGAATGGCTCCTTTGTGTTGTATTTTACACAGTTTTGACCTTGGGCCGTGAGTTGGATACGAACTAGAAATGTCTGGTTTGTCTCTTTCCTTCTTAAATTAATGGTCTTTTCCTCTGTGAAACTGCCTTTTATTTGGCAGTTTCACTTAATTTTGCCTTTACGCGGGTCTTTATTTGTATTTATGCAAGGTCGCCGCCTGATGGTTACAATTGGGAACAGAGTCAAAGTTGGAAGTCATAGGAAAGACACAAGTTGGCATCAAATTAACAGAGGAGAATACGGTCACGTCTTTTGGAAATGAGAGTAGAAATCAAAGTTGGTAATGAGGTTCAACTTGTCAAAAACGCTAAAACAAAATGTATGCAGTTAAAAAATGAGTCAAGAGAAATATAATAAAGGAAATGGCGCCCTCTAATGAGCATCTAGAGGAAATGAGCTTCAAAAAGGGGTTTTCTTTTTTCTTTGTCTATACTCTGCAAAAGTAAAGAAAATTGCTTAACTGTAAATGTACAAGGGGAAATTATCTGGAGTATTTCTCCAGAAAAAAAAAGACCATTGGGGTTTATATTAATATATTTAAATTACTTGATGGCTTAAAATGTAAAGATAAGTATGCCTTCAGCGGAACCTTAGGATCCCTTGAATGTTAAATTGCACCCCCAGGATATATATATGCAGCAAGTTCAATATGGGGAATACTACCAAATAACTGAGTTTCTTTAATAAATAAATTGCAAATCAGTGAAGATCTGGAGATGAACCCAAACCATAAAAGGGACTTAAACATATTAACCAATTACACAATCTGTGGGTTCTATTTGGAATTTGGAGTTTTCTTTAAAGTCAGTAAACATTTCATATTATGAAACCAATGGAGCGTTTGTTTATTTGAGGTGGTTGGGATTGAACCCAGAGCCTCCAGCATGCTAGGCAAGCACCCTACCACTGAGTGGCATCCTCAGTCCTTTGAAACCAATATTTGTTTATGAAATCATTGGTACCTTTTTGTTTTGGTCATGGTGGTGTGATTACACTTAGTAAATATTCTTGTCTTTTACAGAAACATACTGATATTAGTGTTTTGTAATTTTGTCCATTAAAGGGGGAAGGAAATCCCTATGGAAAAAATCAAGTAAAAGGACTAGAAAGTCATGAAAGACTATAGATCTCTTAACTTCCAATTCCCCCCCCCTCCCAAAGTCTTCTTTTTAACTTGAGGACTGGAGGTGCCAAGTAAACCCAAACTGCATCTGTGTTTATATTTTGGGGGTTTTTTTAATTCTTAAGTTTTAGGTGGACACAATATCTTTATTTTACATTTATGTGGCGTTGAGGATCGAACCCAGTGCCTTGTGCATGCTAGGTGAACACTCTACCTCTGAGCCACAACCCAGCCCCTGTGTTTGTATTTTGTGTGATGTGAGAGAAGGAAAAGGAAAAGGAAGGCAGAGATGGGAAAAGATATATCCAACCATCTGAGAAGTGAACCAACTGATTGATTTCAGTGAATTTTTTGTGAGGTTGGCAAGCACAGTAAAATACAAAACCTTGGACCAAAAAAGGAAAGGATGTGTGTGTGTGTGTTTAATTAAGGCAACTTGGTGGTGATGTTTTTAAATTTAGGAATGAAAATTATATTAGAAAAAGAGAAAATGTCATCCTTCCTCAGACCTGGACCAGATATAATCCTTGAAGGAAAAGAGCTGCTTGTGTAGATGAGCAAGATGAACAGAACATGATAAAACCACTTCTAACATTGGGGAAGTTCCCAGTGGAGTGAACAATTTAAAAATGGAACTGGGATTGCCCAATGAAAAATCACATAAGGAGGAAGCTTGAAATGAAGTTTAGAAACTTTACCTTAGGAAAGGTCTCCTATTTGGATATACAGTTTTTTACCAAATCAAAACCAACCTGGAATTAGGGGACAAAATACCCTAAAATTTATCCAAAAGCAAAGGGATTATAAACCTACACATTGAAGCACAGACAGAGCTCTCTCATAAGAAAGCCCTTGACTTTGGAGGGTGGCCAAGTTTTTGGTTTGCGGATCACTGTTGAGGCATTAGTCACATATATCTTGTATGTGTGTATGTGTGTGTAACCTCTGCTGGCCAAGAAGGCATATTATAAAGTACTTTAAGCAGGGGAGTGACATGTTCAGATTTAGGGATACAGATTTGAAATAAGCTTATAGTGGAGGAAACATTACCTGCTTGTTAGTTTGTAACCTTTCTTTCCTCCAAAAATAAACTCCTTTAGGGCAGGGAACTTCTCAGTTGTGTTCACCATGTTGCCTAGGTCAATGTGAGCATAACAACGGAACTCAAGAAATATTGGGTAAATGAACAAATGAAACTAACAGAATGGTTGGGACAATTTAATAAAAAGTCATGTTCTTAAGCTGCCAAGGAAACCTCATGTGCTTAGGAATTTGGGTTAAGGGGAAATTGTGACATCTGGACTGATATTTTCCTGGTACTTCCCTATAGAACTCAGGCTAACCCTGGGCTCCCTGTCTGTATTAGGAAGGGATTCCTAATCAATGACTTGGGAGGGGGTATCTGTGAATTACCTTGCCTACAGCATTTTTTTTTTATGTGAGGATGAATTTGCATCTTTCTGAGGAAAGAAAGTTTATGCACTGCTGTCCAATAGAATTTTCTGTGATAATGAAAATGTTCTATGTCCTATCCAGTACAGTAGCTATGAACCACATGTGGCTATTGGCCACTTGAAATCTGGCTGGTGTGACCAAGGAACTGAACTTTGAGCTTTATTTATTTTTAAACTTAGCCCTAAGTGGCTAGAGCTACAAGATTGAAGAGCACAAGTCTATAGCCTTTGTGAAAATCTCAGAGGGGCTGAAGATTCTCAGAGGAGAAAAGCTCAGGGTCACTGTCAGAGTGGCCTCCCTGAAATGTTGGCAGAATGCTGGGGCAGCTTTGTCAGAAAGGGGTCTTGGGTAATAAAAACCACTTGGGAAAGTCCTATCTACAATCTTCAAAGGAATGTGAGCCAAGATGTCACAGATTCTGTTAAATTGGGAGGAGAGGATGTGGGGAGGAGATGGACTTGTCCCAAGGATGGCAAAAGACAGCACAAGACCAGGGGACGCAGAGAATCAGCTCCTGTGTTTGTGTGCACAAATGCAGGGTCCAGGGAGAGGGAGGTGCCTCTATCTACTTAGGTATTTATACCCTTAGATTTGAAAGACAATCCAAGCCTGGGTTTGGCAGAGACTTCAGATCAAGCTAGGAATAGCTCAGATTCAAAAATCATACAGGCCT